TTAATAAAATATAATTATAGAAAAAAAAAAAAAAGGAAATAGATGGAAAACTTTCAGTGAAATGGACACCGTGACTACAACAATGAGCTCACGCACACAAACGACTGTAAGGATAGCAAGGACTTATTTCGTTCTGTTGTGCACCGGGTCGCTGTGAGTTGGCACCAACCCGTGGCACCTAACAACAAAACAAAGGCTGAGACAAGGTCAGTTTTGATCCAAAAAGAGGTCTAAGGTCGTGATTCTCATTTGCTGAGTATCAGAACCACCAAAATAGTGGTGGTTGCTAATTGGGGAGTTCTGACAGGCCTGGAAGCGTTGGCTCAGAGTCAAGACACGTGTACGAGAAAACTCTCGGTGTATTTCTGTTCCAACTAGGGCACTACGTTCCAGGAAGAATGCAGAGTTCATTTAATGTCAAGTTCAAGTACCGCAGACGACTCCCGGGACAGAGGAGGAGGGCGTGACCACGCACACCCTTGAAACGTCACCTCGCCGCCTCGCTCCGCCCCGCCCCGCCCAGAAGAGGCCACTTTCCAATCACAATTTTGGGAGGAGAACGTTTTGTCCAATCGCTCCTTGAAGTGAGGATGACGTACATTTCCCAGTGGCGCGAGGGGACTGTCGGGAGGTTGCTGGAGCTAACATGGAACCTTCTCTAGGGTGAGGGCGAGACTGCTGCTACTGACCGCTCCCACCTTCCCGCGCCATCATGTTGGTGCACTTATTTCGGGTCGGGATTCGGAGCGGCCCAGTGCCAGGCAGGCCGCTAAGCCTCGGACTCCAGATATTCACGGCCGTCAGGTAATTAGAGGCCATCGTCCACTGAGGGCTCTTGTGGCCGACGGGGGCGGGACAAACCTCCAGGATCTTCCGGTTTAGTCAGCCGTGTGGATGTTACTCCCGGGGTAACCGGCCTCAATTATTGATAACGACGGTTCGAACCAGCAGGAGGCTCTGCGCGCTTGTGTCTGTGCCGAACGGACGGAGGGGTCTCTCAGGTTCAGTGGACACGTTCAGTTCATTTCCCACCAGGGGGCGCTGTGCCGCCCCGGTGACAGCTGCCCAGGATCTTTGAATTGATGGGGCGATTTGGACCCTTACTAGTGTCGATAGACATATAATAGGTGGTGGCCTCAGAATTAAAAATGAGCAGAGCAACAATGGCCCTTGGATCAGCAAAGATGATGTCAATTTAACAACTTAAACATGTGTGTTCTTGGCAAAGCACTTTCCCCCTACACACACACACACACACACACACACACACACACACACACACATTGTTTCAAAGAGAGGCAAGAAACAAAGACCCTAAAAATACATAAATAATTTATGAGAGACTTGTTTCATGAACTCTGGTGACGTAGTCCGTAGGGAGTTGCACTGCTAACCCTCAGATGGGTGCTTCACTTGGGGTTCTAATTGTCCATTGATTCTGCATGAGAGATAAAGCCTCCCAGATGGTTTACAGCCTCTGAGAAGTCACTAGAGGATCAGTTCTGAGTCCTTTCTGACTCAGTAACATTGAGTTTTGGGGGGGTTTAGTTGTTTCGTGAAGGGAGAATAGGCAGAAGAATCCCAGAAACAGGTGATGTGGTTAGAGGTTGTTTGGTAAGCCAGTCTTATCATAGAGGGTAAGAGCTGGAGTGAGCCAGGGCCAAAAGTAGTGGTTGTTGTTAGGTGCCATCGAGTAGACTATGACTCCCAACAACCTAATGAACAACATATGTGAACCTTGCCCTGTCCTGTATGATCTTCACCATCTTGTTCATGTTCAAGCTCATTGTAATAGTCACTGTTTAATCCATCTCATTGAGGGCCTTCCTTTCTTTCACTGATTCTCTGCCTTTCCCAGCATGATGGCTCTCTCCAAGGACTAGTTTCTCCCGAAAATATGTCCTTGCCTCTGAGTAGCACTCTAGGTGCACTTGCTCCAAGACAGACCTGTTTGTTCTTTTGGCAATCCATAGTATACACAGTACTCTTCTCTAGGACTACAATTCAGAGGCATCACTTCTGTCACTCATTGTCAACTTTCAGATGCACAGGAATTGAAAAGATCATGACTTGAATCAAGCACACTTTGGTCTTTAAATTGACATTCTTTAGCAATTTTAAAGGTGCTTGAGAGCAGATTTTCCCAGTGCAACACATCTTCTGACAGTGCAACACATCTTCTGAATTTTTTACTATTTTTACCATGGATGTCAGTTGTGAATCCAAGTAAAATGAAGTTATTAAAAACTTCAGACTTTTCTCCATCTATCATGATGTTACTTATTGGTCCAACATTCCTCTTCAGTTTGTCATTTCAGGCAAAGGATAGCATCTGATTGTCACGATCAGTCCATCTCAATTTACTAATTCCTAGGATGTCAATCTTTATGCATCCCATTTCATTTTTTTTTACAACTTCCAATTTTTCTAAGTTCATTCCATGCTCCAGTTATTATTGGATGTTTGCAGCTATTTCTACTCATTTTGATCATTTTGATTCTTGCTACATCAGCAAATGAAGGTCCTTCATTAAGTGAAATCTTTGCTCCATCTTCCTCATTGTGTTAGACTCTGCTTTGAGGAGGCAGCTCTTTTTCAGTTGCATTTTAAGTTCCTTCCCACCTGAGGGGCGTTGTATTCAACAATATCCTTCTCTTATCCATAGGGTGTTTGAGGGCTTGTTTCAGACATGGATGGCCAGTCCTGCTTCTTAGTCTGTCTTAGTCTGGAAGCTCCACTAAAACCTGCCCACCATGGTGTCCCTGCTGGTATTTGAAACACCACTGGCATAGCTTCCAGCGTCACAGCAACGCATAACCGCAGTGCAGCACACTGACAGATGGATGGTGGCTTTCCCAGCAGATCCTGAGATCGATCCATGTGTCCTGGCCTTTTCCAAGTAGAGAGCCTCCTCATGGTGGAGCCCAGGTCCAAAAGCACACACCCCACTCCTGGGCTTTCTTCCCTGGTGGGACTGAGTACTCTGCCATCCCCTCTTCCTTTCCTCCTCTTTTGTCTTATAGCCTACACATTGGGAAAACATTCCATACTATAATGAAATTCACAGGTGCTGCACTCCACCCTGAATCCTTTTACAGCTATTTGTTTTGTCAACTCATGAGGAGTTGTGGTATAGCTTCCACATTGTATCATCATGTACATGTAGTTTTGCGGGAAGACACATTAAATTCCTAACAAGGCTTTGTCTAAACTGAAGGCAATAGTTTAAACTTCCTCAGCAAGTGTTTTAGGTCTTCCTCATTTTCAGCAAGCAAAGTTGTGTCATCTGCATATCCCAGGTTGATGACTTTTCCTCCAGTCCTAACAGTGTTCCTTATTAGTCCACCAGAAGACTTAGCCCTGGGCAAATCAGACATGGCAAGGGAGAAAGTCTGAATTTGGGAACCAGATCACAGAGTTCGCCTTAATTCTGCTGCTTGTGGGAAAATTCTATCTCTGTGTGACTGCAGATCAGTGAAGTAGGCCTTTCGCACTTGAGGGCAGGGACCACATCTGCTGTATCACCATCCTGAGCAGTCTTAATGCCAGCCCAGCTCCAGGTGGGCCTACTGCACTCTCCACTCTTCTCTGGATCTAACCTGTTTCTGCATGCTGCTCTGGAAAGTGAGCACGCTTCAGCTGGTGTAGGGTTTTTGGGGATTGTTTTTAAAATCTAAACGTGCAAGGAGGAGAAATGATTTCTGCCTCTGGCATCTGAGCGAGGCCTGCCTGTTGGGTGCTGTCCAGAAAGGTTTCTAGGAGAGTCAGTTAACAACCGAGTATGCTTAAGACTTAATGACATGATGTCTCATTTTTCAGTGATTTTGTTTCTGTGTATTTATCTTGGAAACGACAGTTGTTTAAGAGCAGCCCTTAGAAAGGCATGTGATGTGATTAGGTATTATTGTCATGACAGGAATCCAGAATGAAGGCTGCATAGTGGAGTGGACCTGGGGGGAGGGATTGTAGAGCAATGAATTTTTCTTTTACTTTTCAAAAAGAAGAGCAAATTGGGCGGAGGGAGGGGTGACCGGGGAGAAAAGTGCAACATTGAATGAATGGAAATCCTCAGTCTCTGTAAACTTTCATTAACATTAATAATAATAAATTTATTTTAAAAAAAAAAAGAAAGGCATGTGGAGGGCCTGAAGTTAGAGGGCTCTGGAAAGGCCTAGCCAGAGCTTATGATTCATGGGTCAGTTGACAGACAATTGGGGCATCAAATCATCAGTGCCTTTTCTCCCTGCAGACGCTCTGATGGCCACCACAGCTCCTGCTTCCTCCAGTCCATGGCCCAGCTCTCATCTTACCTACGGCCCCGCCTGCCCCAAGCTTCCAGAGCTCCCAGCCGAAGCCCCCGCTCTGCCTGGCACTGGGTTGGGGGAGTACTGCTAGGGCCTGTGATGCTAAAGAAATGTCCCCGCCTGTGCCTGGTGGCACGATGTGAGGCAGAAGAGGTCCCTCTGACCAGTTCTAGACCCTATAGCCAAGAATCCCAGTTTAACTGGAGGCTCTTCTGGCAGTTTCTACGCCCCCACCTGCTGGTCCTGGGAGTAGCCATTGTGGTGAGGTCTTTCCCCACTCTTCCTGTGACCAAGGATAGAGAAAATTCCAGGAAAGGGTTTATAGAATTTCTAAGTCAGAGTGGGGCAGTGACATGGGATGGCCTGGTCTGGGAACTGATTGGCTGTAAAGGATGAGTTGGATTGGCAGGGTGTGGAGAGTTCCCTGGTGCTGCAAGCTTGGGCTTTATTGCTTAAGGAAGTATGGACAACTCCACAGAAGTAGCCAGAAAATAACCAGGGGCCGGGCTAAGTGATGAAACAAAGATAAGAAAGGCTAGTACAGGGTGGAGGAGGGGAAAGTACCTGGCTCCCCCTCTGAAGTTCTGCTCTCTTGTACCCTGTCAGCTGGCTTTGGGAGCAGCTCTGGTGAATGTGCAAATCCCCCTGCTCCTGGGCCAATTGGTCGAGATTGTGGCCAAGTACACAAGAGAACACATAGGGAGCTTCTTAATGGAGTCTCGGAGCCTCGGCACACGCCTGCTGCTTCTCTATGGCATCCAGGTACAGCATGGGGTGGGTAGGCCTGGAGGCACCCAAAGGGCTAGGGGGCGGGGCCTGAGCATGCTGGCCTCCCCAGGGCCTGCTGACCTTTGGGTACCTGGTGTTGCTGTCCCGCATTGGCGAGCGCATGGCTGTGGACATGCGGAGGACCCTCTTCAGCTCCCTGCTGCGGTACGCCTGTCACAGGGTAAAGGGTATGGGGATTTGCTGGGCCCAGAGGGCTCGGAGTAGGCGTCTGGGCATGAGCTTCACCCTAAAGTAACATCTCCCTCCTTTTTCCCTATCTGCTGCCCCTGCTTCCCACCATCAGACAGGACATTGCTTTCTTTGATGCTAAAAAGACAGGGCAGCTGGTGAGCCGGTTGACAGCTGATGTGCAGGAGTTTAAATCATCCTTCAAACTTGTCATCTCCCAGGTCAGTGGTCTCAGCACTCTCTCCCCTCCCCACCCCAGCACACACACACTCCCCAGTGAATTCCCCAGGCCTCCCCTACACTGATCTACCAGTTTTGAAGCAAGAAGCCTGCCCTCTGGGTGAGGGTGTAGGGAAGAAATGGGGAAGGCAGCTGGTAAGGCAACATACAGAGTTAGGATGGGCTATTTCTTTGCTGATGTAAAATCCTATCTCCCCTGGAAACGCTTTCCTTACTCAGCTTGCCAAGAGCAAAAACACTTTGGCCTGCCTTGCCCAACATGCCTAAACCTCTAACAAGTACTGAGATAGATTGCAGCATTTGTTGTAGTGCTGATGTCCTCTCTTTATTCATCCCTGTCAGCATAATAATGTTGAATTACACTCTGGGTACTATTGGTACTAGACACTAGCCTACAGCCCCGGAGTTCTGATGGCCTAGTCCTTAAGGATTGCACTGCTAACCCTAAGGCCAGGCCTCTCTTGTGATTCATATCCATCTTTCTTTGGAGAAAGATGGGCTAGCTCCTTTGTGTAATCTACAGCGTCGGAAACCCACTAGAAGGTCAACTGTCAACCTTTTCCAACTCAAGACAGAAGTGAGTTTCAGCCCACAGCTCTGATGGTGTAGTCTATAGAGAGTTGTGCCACTGAGCCAAAGGCCAATCGTCTCCAGTGGCTCGAGTGCCCTAATAGCTCCAAGGGAGAAAAATGGACAGTTTCTTCCCATTGTGATTTATGGCCTTGAAATCTCAGTGAGCTGGAACTGACTCAACAGCGGTGAGTGTTTTGAGCCTACAGCAGGATCCTCATGGGCAGGACTCAGTGTCATTCTTTTCATTTGGTTTCTGGAATCAAAAGAGAAGTAAGCTGGGGGGTGTGCAGGGGGAAATGCCTCCCTCTCTTTCCCTACCCAGTTTGGGAATGGATTTGCAGAGATCCCTAACAGTCTCCAGTATGCCCTTCAGGATGGCTGATTATAGCCCAACAGGATACAGAAGTTTACATCTGTGACTGGTGAATAGCCAGTTGGCCCCTCACGAGTCCAACTTTGCCCGTGGCCTTCTGGCCTTTGATAAAACCCGCTGTGACATGGTGCTAATGCTGGGTGACCTCTTCTGTTTTCCTCTCTACTTCCCCAGGGACTTAGGAGCTGCACCCAGATTGCTGGCTGCCTGGTATCCCTGTCCATGCTGTCCACACGCCTCACTGTGCTGCTAATGGTGGCCACGCCCACCCTGATGGGAGTTGGCACCCTGATGGGCTCAGCTCTCCGAAAATTGTCTCGCCAGTCTCAGGAGCAGGTACCAGAGTTCCTTGTCCATCCACCTCACGCTCTGCCCATTTCTCTCTTTTCTGTGCTCCTCTGGAAGCCCTCCTTTGTCCCCCAACTTGTTTCCCTGTTTCCTCCTGCACTCCTTGCAGATCGCCAAGGCTACAGGTGTAGCTGACGAGGCCCTGGGCAATGTGCGTACCGTGCGAGCCTTCGCCATGGAGCCCTGGGAAGAGGAGTGAGACTTGGAGCAGGGGGCTGGGCACAGACAGGGACTTCCCCAACCCACCTGGCCTCACCCCCCCAAACAAGGCAGCTGCTCCTGTGCACTGACCCTTGACCTCTCTCACCAGGCGCTATGGCATAGAGCTGGAAGGATCCCGCCGTAAGGCAGAGGAGCTGGGCAGAGGCATTGCCTTATTCCAAGGGCTTTCTAACATTGCATTCAACTGTAAGTGAATGAGCTCTAACCTGGGAGGGAGACCAGTGGGCAGAGGAGGGGTTCCAGATTTGTGGCTTGGAATGAGCTGGGAGTGTGAAACAGGCAAGGGGCACACTCCATCTATCTGATGCTCCCAAGGGGCTCTGCTTGATCCTTGACGGAGGGCCGGTGCTGTGACAAGGGTAGCAGAAAGGCAGAGCTGTGTGAAAGTCGTTGTAGGTTCCCTGGAAGGAAGTTGTAGAGGTCTGCCCACCCCTTGGGTTTGGTTTGCTTTGATTTTCTTTTCTTGTGGAAATGCTACATGTAACAAAACATTTATCACTTCAACAGTGGTGTGGTAACTTTATCAGGCTGCTAACTTAAAAGTCCGCAGTTTAAATCTACCAGCTGCTCCGTGGGAAAGAGATGGACTTTCTCCTCCCATACAGATTTATAGCCTCAGAAACCCAATTTCACTTTGTGTCACAGCTGAATGGATGGCAGTAGGTTCACGTGTATTTAGTGAAGTGACATTTACGTGAGTTACATTGTTCAAGCATAACCCTGTCTGTTCCCAGATTTACCCTTTACTCTTAGCAGAAGCTCAGTTTCCTCAGTGTGGAGTACTTTTCTCTTCCCTTCTCCCCTCACTTTGTAACCACTGGTAAAGTTTAGTCTTGTAAGTGAGATCACACAGTATTTGTCTTTTTGTGACTGTCTTAGTTCACTCAGTCCTGGCAAGATTCATCCGTGTTGTAGCATGTATCGTATTTCTCTTTATGACTGAATAATGTTTATTGTATGTATATTACTCAGCTCATTGCTATTGCATTGAAACTGACTCAGATCTGACCCTTCAGTGGGTTTTCAGAAGCTACAAATTGCACAAGAAGAGATTGCCCTTCTTTCTCCCAAGGAGCTGCTAGTAGATGCAAACTGCCAGAGAGGCACCACCTTTGGGTTAGCAGATAAACTCCCTCCAGTCTCCGTCACCAGAGGCCCTTTGTATGTATATGTTGTTGTTATGTGCCAATGAGTGGCCTGCAACTCATAGCAACCCTATGTACAACAGCCCTAAGCTCTGCCCTATCTTGTGCCAATCTCACCATCTCCGATACACCTGCCTCCATTATTACCCCAGTCACTGAATCAATCATAGAGGATCTTCCTCTCCTGCGCCGTCCCTCGGCCCTCCCAAGCATGATGTCCCTTTCCAAGGACTGGTCCCTCCTTGCAGCATGTCCAAAGTATGTCAGATGAAGCGTCAGAATTTTTGCCTCCAAGGAGCAGCCCAGCTTCAGTCTCTCCAGGACAAGCCTGTTGTTTTCCTAGTAGTCCATGGTGTACTCAATACCCTTCTCCAACACCACAGCTCAAAGACATCAGTTCTCCTTCTATCATCCCTAGTCATCATCCAGCTCTCCAGTGCATAGCAAGTGATTGCAAAGACCATGGCATGTATCAGGCGCACCTTAATCTCCAGACTGACATCTTTGCACTTAAGCATTTTAGAGAGGTCTCTAACCGCAGACTTCCCATCGCAATACGTCTTTTAATTTCCTGGCTGCTGGTGCCAAAAGTGTTGACTGTGGAGCCAAGCAAACTAAAGCTGTGAACAATCTCAATCTCTTCACCATCCATCCTGATGCTGCCAATTGGTCCAGTGGTGAGAATCTTTGTCTTCTTGTCTCAATCCATATTGAACACTACAGTCCTTGACCCTCTGCAGCAAGCACTTCAGGTTCTACTCCGTTTCAGCAAGCAGGGTTATGTCATCTGCATAACGCAGATTGTTGATGGATCTTCTACCAATCCTGACCCCACATTTCTCCTCATAGAGCCCAGTCTCCCAGATAATCTGTTCCTGCATACAGGTTGAAAAGTTATGGAGACAGGACACATCCTTGGCATACGCCCTTCCCAATTTAGAACCATGCAGTATTTCCTTCCTCTGTTCTGACAACTGCCTCTTGGTCCAAGTATAGGTTTCACATTAGCACGATCAAGTATTCTGGGATTCCCATTCTGTATGTATATACCCCAGTTTATTTATCCATTCATCTTTTGATGAGCGCTTGGGTTGCTTCCACCTTCTGACTTTTGTACATGAACATTGATACATGTGTGTTTTTGAGCTCTGTTTCGGTGTGTAACTAGGAATGGAATTATATTAACTTATTGAGGAATCACCAGATTGTTTCCATAGGAGCTGTTTTATAATCCACCAGCGATGAGTGAGTTACTCTTTTTCCTCATCTTCATTAACACCTGTTTTTCTCTATTTTTTCATCAGAGACATCCTAGTGGGGGTGAAGTGCTATCTCATGAGTTTTATTTGCATGTCCCTCATGACTAATGACACCAGGCATCTTTTCATGTGCTTGTTGGCCATTTGTATTCCTTCTCTGATGAAACACCTCTTCAAAGCCTTTGTCCATTTTTTCACTAGGTAATTTGTATTTTTGTTAAGTTTTAAGAGTTTTTATGTATTCTAGATTTTCAACTCTTAGCCACTTCTTCAACAACATGCCTCCAGAAACTCTATGAACTTTGATAAATGTCAGTAGTTGTAGAGGAGCTTCAGGCCTTTTGTTCATAGGGTCACTATGAGTTGTGCTTGACTCGAAGGCAGTCAACAACAATAGTTGTCTAATGATGCTACAACAGAGATACCACAAGTGGATTGCTTTAAGAAATAGAATTTGTCCAGGTTAGGATGCAAGGCTGTAAGGAAAGGCCCTCTGTCCTCTCTGCCGGTTGTAGAGGAAAGGGCCCTTGTTTGATTCAGTATCTGTAGCCTGAAGACCCTCGAGACAAACCTCCCTGGTGTCAAGTAGTTGTCTCATGCAGGGACTGAATCCTGATGATTACTGGTTGTTTCTTGGTGGTACTAAGAAGTTTCTCCCCTCTCCTTTTTTTATCTCTGACATATAGAATGACACAATTGAGAATCTAGAAATAAACCAGCTGTTATATGACAAGGGTGTCATATCCATTCAGTGATTCATGGAGAAAATCAAGCTGCACAGTCAGCTAGTGGCATAGCAGGTACTGGAATCTGAGACTAATACTTGTCATTAGGTATCATTGAGTCAGAACTCCCACAGCTAATCCTCTTAGCAGGTCCTCAGAGGCAGTAAATCACACAGGAGTTGTTTGCCCATCTTTCTCCCACAGAGGAGCTGGTAGATTCAAACCGTGTGCCTTGAGTTGACAGCACAGAACCTTATTACTAAGCCTCCAGAGCTCTTTCCTGGGCTTCTGACTACTTCCCTCTCTCCTGTCTGTCTCCTTCCTCATGCAGGCATGGTCCTGGGCACCCTGTTTGTTGGTGGCTCCCTTGTGGCAGGACAGCAGCTGACAGGGGGAGATCTCATGTCCTTCCTGGTGGCCTCCCAGACAGTGCAGAGGTGAGTGTGGGGCTGTTCTCATTCCGAAGAAGTCGCTGCCATCCACTGGAGCTCAATGGGGCCTGAGAGTGGCCAGAAGGCAGCACAGGGAGAAAGAAGCCCCAGGAGAGCCCGTCAGGGGATATAACTCGTCCTCCTGGCTAATTCTCCTAAATATGTACTTAAGTAGTGGAGTTCTTATCTTCCATTTTCCAAAGAACAAAGACATTTCTTGATTGAATTTTTTTTAAGAGCTGGCCACCCATCCTCTTTCACTTTTTCTAGGGACAATAAACCCCTTCCCCATTCCCACTGCTCCATCAGAAGTGATTGGTTTTCATTGATCTGAAATCTGTCTGCTCAGCTGAGCCTTATCACCCTGTAGAACAATCCAGAGGTGATCAGCTTACTTTGCCATAAGAATGACTAAGGTAGTCTTTCTCCTTTTCCTATGGCAAACACTAGCTGTTTATTTTTGCTTTTTCTTTTCCCCAGACATACTATGTATGTTAAAATATATAAAATCTTATGAAAAAGAATTAAGTATGAAGACCTCTATTACCACCAACCACATAAAAAAAGAAAATACTGCTCTCAGCCCAGAAGCCCATACATATTCCTCCTAATAGGCCCTTTGCCTTCTGCTGGAGGGAACCACTGTCTTAATTTCTATTGTCATTGTGTCCTTGCTATGCTCAGTCTTTTGTCACCTGAGACTAATACTTGTTGTTAGGTACCATTGAGTCAAAACTCACTAAATCACACCTGTGATGTCACCATCCAGCTTGTCATTTACTGCAAAGCTAACCCAGAGAAAGTCACCTCTTTAGAGAGATTTGCACTTTTACCCAAGATAGACAAACCCCTGCTCAGGTCTCAAACCCAGCATTCCACAGGAGCAAACCTCATGGATCACCTGCAGCCGCACTGACACCATCCCAGGTCCATTCTGCTTAATGTTCTCTAATCATTAGATGCTTTACCCCTCACTAGTCCTGAGCAGTCTTATCTAATCTCCAGCTCAGAAACTCTGTGTTCCCTGGTGGGTTTGGGATGAAGAGGTGTTGATCATTATAAAGACAGTGACTCTGACCTCCAGAGCTCCCCCAGTATCCTCGGTCAGAGTGAGCTTCTAGGAGCTTCATAATCATTATTTTAATCATAAGGAAACCCGCTGTTGTGTGCCATCAAGTCAGTCCCAACTCCTAGTGACAGAACAGGCTATCCTGCAGGTTTCTTAGCCTGTAGGATGGTGAGACTTCATCTCACATACTTTGGTCATGTTACTGGAAGGGTTCAGTCCCTGGAGAAGTGCATCATGCTTATAAAAGTAGAGGGTTTGCCAAAGAGAGGAAGACCCTCTGTGAAATGATTGGCATAGTAGCTGCAGCATTGAGCTTAAACAGAATAGAGATTATGAAATGGCACAGGATCAGGTCAGGTTTTGTTGTGCTGTGTGCTGGGTCTGTGTGTTGAAGCTGATTCAGTGGCACCTAATGACAGTCTTTATAGAAGAGGATCTCCAGGTCTTGTCTCTTGCATAACTGTTGGTAGGTTCGAACTGCTGACCTTTCATTTAGCAGCAGGGTACTTAACCATTGTACCACCAGGGCTCCTCTGGAAAAACCCCCACTGGCTCCCTTGTTAAAATAGACCCATGGCCTCACATTGGACGGTAAGGGATCATCCTATTTGATGGGAGAGAAGCTGCACTCTTGAGCCCTGGCCTATGTTCCTCATGTCCACCTTGTCTTCAGGACCTTAGAATCAGCTGCCATCACCACTGCCATTGGGGCTCAACCAGGCCCAAGTCAGGCTTTGTCCTCACTTCCCCACCACTCTGCTCAGCCAGAGAACAGGACTTGGTGCTGGATCTAGGCACAGCCCAGACTGATCGCCTGTATTGTTTCTCTAGCTGTTAGATGTGTCAGCTTGCACAGCTACAGACCTGGGCACGTCCTGCCAGTGGCCCCTCTAGTTCTGCTCAGCTTAGGACCATTCACTATATGGAGACCCTTCACCATGTGGAGACTTCACCATGTGTAGACTTCACCACCTGGAGGTATCACATCTTACTTTAACAAAGAAACTGTATTTTCTTAATGTTCTTGCCATTTACGTGAGACTGCAAACCCAAAAATTTCCTGCTCTTGAGTCAATTCTGACTCACGGCAACCCTGCAGGACAAAGGAGAACCACCCCCATGGCTTTCCAAGGCTGTAAATGTTTACTGAGGCAGCGCTACACCTTCCCCAGAACCCCTGGCCTTGTAATTAGCATCAGAGCACTTAACTGCTCCCAATGCTAAGCTTCTGCAGGGGAAGATGGAAAGAGAGAAGCAGACAAGGGGACAGAGTGATGGGAAGAATAAGACAGCTTTCCCCAGCCTCAATCATCCTTTCTTTTAGACCCCATCCTGGGCATTTGGGAGTATGAGAGGAAGTGACCCCACAAAGCACAATTACTCCAGCAGGCCAATTGGGACCAGGTCTGGGCACAGTTAGGGATGGGACTGCCGTCTGGGGCTGGCTCCAGCTGGTTCCTGTGGTAATGTTCTGGCCTGGAACTGGAGGCAATTCTAGAGCAAGGTAGTGACCACTCCCATAAGTCATGTGTTTTGGTTTTCCGTTGCCATCCTTTAATGGCTCCAGAAAAACACTTCTAGAGAATGTCTTCCTTTCTCATCTACAGATGACTCTGGATTGGTGCTGCTTTGCTCCAAGTCTCCCATTTCCTTTGGCAAGTGCTGACGACTCAGGCTGCCAGAAACATTTTCTTGTGGGCTTGGTGAAGCTTCCCACGCTATCCTACTCTGGCCTTGGAAGAAATGAGTCCCTCTGGAAGGGATTGCTACAGAGTCAGTCTTTCCACTTCTTAAAGATAGAGTCCTGTATACACACAGTCACATGTACACATGATGTTGCAGTCCAGCCAGACCACTAAGGGACTGTGACTCATCCTTCTCCTCCCTCAGGCAGCCAAGCATCCTCTCCTACCCTTTGAGCCACTGACTAGACAGATAAACACGTACAAACTTTGTCACTCACCCGCAGACACATTCCTGTAGGGCAGGCCTACGGTGAAGACTTGTTCAGAGAATTGTTTTGGGGAGCCCCCAGAGTTTTCTCTTGGCCCACTGTCTTCTGTTTTCTTCTTCCATGCAAGGCTTTGAGGAGCTCTTGTGGGCTAGTGGATAAGACACTTGCATTGCCTATCCAAAGGTGTGCAGCTTAAATCCATGAGCTGCTCTGTGGGAGAAAGATGGATAATCTCCCATGTGATTCACAGCCTCTGAAATCTCACTGGAGGGTCAGCTATGAGTTGGTTCTGACTTAGCAGCACATAGCAACATCATGCAAGGATTTAGCTTCAATGAGCATACTTCAGAGATATTTCAAGTTCAGTTCCAGACTACTATAGTCAAGCTGGTAACAGCAATAAAAGGAGTCACACAAGGATTTTACTTTACCAATGCAAGGTCATAGTCTTTTAAATATACAGTAGCATGATAAAAATAGTTGGGAATTTTGTGAAGTTACCAAAGTGTGACACAGAAACACATGCTATTGGAAAAAATGGCACTCATAGACTCACATACTGTAAGGTTGCCTTAAATCTTCGATTTGTATGAAAAAAAACCCCAAAACCCTACACAATACCTGCCAAGCACAGTATAGGGGAGCCAAATAAAATATGCTTACATTTTAAGTCATAGTTCACCTCTGTATGCTGTGAGCCGGCCTCTGTCCCTATATCCTGTGTCTGAACCAATGCAAACACAATCCCCCTGTGGCCTTGGCCTTCATCCCACTCCTGTCTTCTCCCTGGAGCCCCACCCGCAGCATGACAGAGTGGATGTTACCATCTTTGACCAAGGAGAAGAGACTTGCCTGGTTAGTCTGTTCTCTTACAATCCCACATCTGGGGAGAAACTGCATTTGAGCCACCTGCTCCCCTGCTTCACCCTGCATGTCCCCACCCCCTACACGGATGAGAGCTTCCCCCAGTACTGAACTTATCGCTATCCCTCGTCCTCAGCCCTTCTAACCATGCCTTCCTTGTCCTTACAGGTCCATGGCCAACCTCTCTGTACTGTTTGGCCAGGTGAGTACCAGTGGGGGTGGTAGTGGTCCTGAAGGGGTTGGGTTACTGGTTCTGGGCTGGACTTCCATGCATGACCAGAGTTACTTGTATATCGAGAGACCTGCCCATTGGCTAGTTGGAGGGGATGGGAAAACAAATACCTGAACTATATATTACTGTTGTTAAGTACCATCAAATTGGAATCAACTCATAGTTGACTCTCCAAAGGCCTTCAGAGGCAATAAATCGCATGGGAGGAGATTGCTTATCTTTCTTCCATAGTTTCACAAGAGCCTATCCTTGAGGCTTCACCTCACATATTTTGGGTATGTTGCTAGGAGGGGCTATTCCTTCGAGAGGGACATGATGCTGGGAAGGGTGGAAGGTTGACCCTTGACCAGGTGGGCTGACACAGTGACTGCTGCAGTGGCTCTTGTGTGTTAATAGTTCAGCTCCTTATGTCTAGTCCACCAGAGCTCCCTGAATTAGTCTATATAGACTCAGCAAATGTGGAGTCTATAGAACTATAGCCCTCTTTTGCCTTACTGCCTCCCATGGGTAGGAGGATAGGCATTCAGGAAATGCTGCTACTTTTCATGGTGTCCTGCCCCCTTAGCCCAGAGGTTTTCTTCAGAGCCCAAATCCCCATTCCCACCTCACTGCCAACCTCTCACTCCCCACAGGTGGTCCGGGGGCTCAGTGCAGGGGCTCGAGTCTTTGAGTACATGACTCTGAGCCCATGCATCCCTCTGTGTGGAGGCTGTTCCATCCCCAGGGAGGATCTCCAAGGGACCATCACGTTTCAGAATGTCAGCTTCAGGTCAGCACGCGAGCACATAGGCAGGGGCTCGTCTTTCCAGACTCTGGCTGAGGGGAGGGCACCTCATGGGAAGTCTGGTTGAATGCTTCCCCACTGAATCAGCCTTTAAGAGGGCACAGACAGACTTTATAGGAACTCAGGAGGGGTCTAGCTTGTACCTGGATTCTCCTTGGTTCTATGGAATGAAGGCAGGGCAAGCAAGGACTCCTGGAGCTTGGTCTCACTTCAGGTCTCTTGGCTTCTCTGCAGTTATCCCTGCCGCCCTGGCTTTGAGGTGCTCAAAGACTTCACCCTGACTTTGCCCCCTGGCAAGGTGGTGGCCCTGGTGGGCCAGTCTGGGGGAGGTAAGAGGAATCCAGCACTGGCTTGCCACCATATCATGGTGCACTCTTTGCCCCCAAGAACCACCCTCTCCCTCTTGGAAAGGCTGTCCACTCCCACCAGAGGTCCCTGTGTTCTGGAACAAGCAGCAGAGCCCTTAACAATTTCTTTTTCCCAATCCAATTTCACCAGGAAAGACAACTGTCGCCTCCCTGGTGGAACGCTTCTATGATCCCACGACAGGAGTGGTGCTACTGGATGGGCGGGACCTCCGCACTCTGGATCCGTCCTGGCTCAGAGGCCAGGTCATCGGCTTCATCAGTCAGGTAGGGAGCAGAGGCCCCTCACAGGGTAGATGTTCACCAGAGACGCCAGGACATGTGTCTGTACCTGTCACCTCACTTTGTCTCTCACCCGCTGGTGGGTTGCATGTTGCCAGGAGAGGCTTTTCCTTGGAAAGGGCCGTGATGCTTGGAAAGGTGGAGAGAAAAGGGAGGAAGACCCTCAACCGAATGGATTGTCAGATTCTGCAGCAGTGGGCTCATGTGTGTCAGAAATGAGGAGGATAGCACATGGTAGGACAAGGTTCAGATCTTTTATTCATAGGGTTTCTATGAATCATTTACACTGGCACCTAACAACAATAACCCTTTGTCAGTGTTCTCAATCAGTCTGCTCCTGATGCCTGCCTGTCCCAGAACATCTGTAGCTTGGCTCTCCTCTTCCCTAAAGCATCTTTAAGGCTTGTTCTTGTTGTGTACTGTAGAGTCGGGCTCAGGCAGGTTTTCAGAGACAGTAAGTCACACAGGAGGAGACTGCCCATCCTTCTCCCACAGAGCGGCTAGTGGCCTCGAACTACATGCCTTTGGGATTACAGTGCATCTTCCTGTCACTAGGCCACCAAGCTCCCTATATTTAAGGTTGTTGTTGTTGTTGATTACCCACTGAGTGGAGCATGACTCGTAGTGACCCTATGAACAAAAGGCCTGAAGCCTTTCTATAACTATCAACATTTATCAAAGCTCATAGAGTTTCCAGAGGGATGTTGTTTAGGAAGTGGATGCCACTCCTGCTTCCAAATCTTTAGGGTAGGGCTAGCTTATTGAGGTCCATAAAAAGAGTGCAGTCAGCATAGGGGCACTAACTCAGCAAGAGAGAAGAATGCCCATAAATGGCACAAAGTCCAAACTTTTTATCAATTCTAACCTAAACCATCCCTCCCAGAGCACTTGATGTTCTGCTGCTGGGTCCACTAATTTGTGGCAGTGACCATACAGAACTCACAGACAAAACATAAGGATATTAAGTTTAATGGAGGCAAGAAAGATGAGGCTTCACATATTTTGGGTATGTTGCTAGGAGGGGCTATTCCTTTGAGAGGGACATGATGCTGGGAAGGGTGGAAGGTTGACCCTTGACCAGGTGGACTGACACAGTGACTGCTGCAGTGGCTCTTGTGTGTCAGTAAATGTGAGAATGGCGCAGGACAGAACAGAGTTCAAATCTTTCATTCATAAGGTCACTATGAGTCGTGCTCTACTTGATGGCACCTAACAACAAGGGGAGTAACATGTTACAGTATAAGTAGGAAACAGAATACAATTCTTCAGTTCAGATAGCTTCTCAAATGTGCTCAAAGACTCTCTGACCTTCAGCTTTGAGGCTTTGGGCCAGTGTACAAAGCTGAAGTTCTTTCAGTATTGCCAGTTAGGGCATATTTTGTTGCTTCCTGACTTCCAAGCCCTCCAGTAAGCTTGGTAAAGGTCTTTGGCTCTGGCTCCCTGGGGTGGCTGTTCCATTCAGTTCTGGTTCCCATCAAGGTCTGGTTCTCCATCACCTCTTCTTCTGCCACCGCTGCTACATCTTAACCTTATCTGTCTTGTTCTAGCTCGGGAAACTCTGGCCCCAAGTGGTGCATGCTGCACTCACCACTTCTTTCTTGGTAGCAGCACGATTCCCATTTTCTGCCTCTGAACCTGCTCAAGTTAAACCTGGCAGGATGACAGAACTGACAGTCCTTTCAATAGTCGTCACACACTTCGTTTGCATGCTCCCATCCAAAGGTGCTATTTTCCCTTATTCATCATTAGCATAGTTCTACCCCACCTCATGGCAAAAATCAAAGCCTGTGGCCAGGAAAGCCATTTTGAACAATCAGACTGCTACACTACACTCAGCCTCAGCCTCATTGCCTTTGAGTCAGAATGAGCTCATAGCTGACCCTCCAGCAGATTTTCTGGAGTTGTAAACTACAGGAAGGAATTGCCCATCTTTCTCCCGAGGAACCATGTGGATTCATACTGCCCACTTTTGAGATGGCAGCACAACTCCTTATCCACTGAAATGCCAGAACACCCTGCTGTACCACCAGGTCCCTGAAATGCCTCAAGAACTCTGTGGTGTCTACAGCATTTGGAGAAGCCAGTGTTTGTGTTCTGGGGACCATTGGTTTCCACCTTTTACCCCACTGGAAGACACTGAGCCTCTGACTCCCGTTTTCCTTTTTTGTATCGAGCACTGTCATGTGGGCTTCTACTTGTTCCCCAGAGAAGACTCCTCTTCCTCCCGTGAGCAAGAAGCAGCCTATGTGTCATGCTGCCTCCTTCCCTCTCTCCAGAGAGGAATGGGAGCAGTGTGCCATGCCAGCATCCACCCTTCCTGTCACATTCCATCCCAGCTCCCAAATGGGGGCTCTGCACTGTGATGGGGCCTTTTCATAGGTCTAGACCGGTCTGCAGCCATGTTTGATTTTGAATTTCAGACTGTCACTGACTGACAGGCCTCCAAGTGACCCTCTTCTGACTTAAGCAGATGTTCTGATGAGCCTGAGAGCGCCTGGATGGCTCCAGGCAGAGGCTAGATTTTTCTTAATGACCTCTGTCCTTCCTCCTCCAGGAACCAGTGCTGTTTGGAACAACCATAATGGAGAACATCCGCTTTGGAAAGCTGGACGCCTCCGATGAAGAAGTGTATGCAGCTGCCCGGGAAGCCAACGCCCATGACTTCATCGTCAGCTTCCCTGAGGGCTATGGCACCATTGTGGGTGAGTGCCGTGGCAGGTGATATACCCATCCCAGGGCTGCAGAGTGGATGGGCCGGAAGGGGAGACTCTGGAGCAGAGGGAAGGAGGAAGTACATGGGAGGAAGACAGTTGAGCACTTGTTAGATTGGTGAGTCCAGACCCATGGGCCACGGTGGAAGACAGACCAAGCAGGGTGCAAAGATAGAAGTCTAAGAGGAAGTAGAGATGGGGCAGGAGACTGCCGCAGAACCTGGCCCTAGGCCCTGGAGGGGATGGCATTGGAACTTTTCACAGAGAGTACCAGGGTCTGCACACCCCAAGAACTGAATAGGAACGAATTGGATTACTCTCTCCTTTTGGTTCTCTCCTCCTGCTTCCAGGTTCATACCTCTTCTTTTATTCATTCGCTTATGAGATACAACATCTTGCTAGGCATGTTGTGTTGTTATTAGATGCTTTTGAGTCAAGTACAACTCACAGCAACCTTCTGAACAACAGATTTGAACCCTGTCCTGTCCTGTGCCATTCTCACTATCTCTAACATTCTCAAGTCCGTTGCTACTGTCACTGTGTCAGTCCACATGATTGAAGGTCTTCCTCTTCTTTTCTTTCCCTCCACCCTCCCAAAGCGTGATGTCCCTATCCAAGGAATAGCCTGTCCTAGCATGTGAGAAGAATGTTCATTATCTTTGTCTTCAAGGAGCACTCCAGTTTCAGCCTTCTCTAAGACATATCTAATTATTCTTTTGGTTTTCAGCACTCTTCTCCAACAATCATTTAGAGAGGTCCCTGCCTGCAAATTTTGTCGGTGTAATACATCTTTGATCTCCTGCCTGCTGGTACCAAATGGATTGACAGAGGAATGTTAGATATAGGAATTGATCTTATTGAGCAAGTCTCTGTCCTGACTTACCCAGAAGAATGGTATGGTAATTCAGAACATTAAAATGCAGGGTGGTCGTTGTTGTTGTTATGTGCTGTCAAGTTGCCTGCAACTCATAGCGACCCTATGTATAACAGCTCTGAGCCCTTTCCTGTTCTAAGCAAGTCTCACTGATTCCAACACACCTACCCCCATTGCCCCAGTTACTGTATCAGTCCATCTCATCCAGGGTTTTCCTCTCCTGTGCTCTCCTTCCACTTTTCCAAGCATGATACCCCTCCCCAGGGACCAGTCCCTCCTGGCCATGTGCCCAGAGGATGTGAGATGGAGCTTCAAAATCCTAGCCTCCAAGGAGAAAGTTGGTTTCACCCTCTCTAAGACAGACCTGTTTGTTTTCTTGGGGGTCCATGGTATGTCCAAGACTCTTTAGCACCACAACTCAAAGGAAGCAATTCTTCTGTCATAAAATACTAAAAAAAATAATGTGATAACATCGCACTATAGAAATTCGTAGTGCAGCTTACAACTTTGTTTATTATGTGTTTTTTATGTGTTATTATGTGTTTATTACAGAGGTCTTTTTTTTCTATATTTTATTAATTTTCATAAACATTTACAGAGATTTTGGGTTTCCA